CAAAAACTGTTTTTTGTAAACAGCTGGGCGGACTGCGAATTTGTCAACATGAAAAGCAATTGTTTCTCCACTCCTCTCCTCTTGGTTTGAAGTTTGAAGTATATAGACGTTTGCGTGTGTCCTCCGTTTGCCACCTTCGTGAGTTTTCCCCTCCTCTCCTTTTGGTTTGTGCTTTGCGTTTTCCCTTTCCCCTCTGTATGCCCCTTCTCGTAAAGTATATGGACGTTTGTGTGTGTTCTCTGTTTGCCACCTTCGTGATTTCTCCCCTCCTCTCCTTTTGGTTTGTGCTTTGCGTTTTCCCTTCCCTCATCTGCATGCCCCTTGTCGTGTCGTGGGGTATATGGACGTTTGTGTCTGCGTTCTCCGTTTGCAACCTTCGTGATTTCTCTTCTTCTCTCCTTTTGGTTTGTGCACCTTCGCGATTTCTCCTTGGTTCCTCACGGTGTTTCTTTGAGGGAACCCTTCTCTCGTCAGGGAAACAAGTAGAACTTCATCAAGCGGGGTCCATCTTAAGACATGTGTGCCCACCAGTGAGGTCCAATCCCAACCAATCCAAATCACAGGTTACGGGAGGTTTGGCATGTATTTGCCCGGATGGGTTTCACATTTTTTGAGTTGGTTCCCTTCTGGGGGTTTCCCAATTTCTAACTTGGTTTGTGCTCTGTTTCTCATGTAGACTAGACAGGCACAGCCAAGCCACACAGAACATTGTTTCTATCGTTGAGTGCCTACTTGAAGGACGCTCGATGCCAACCCTTCGACCATGTTTGCCATTCATCGCCCATTCCTAGGGGTAGGACACACGTAGGACTGCATGTGCATAGATGACTTGCTTTTGGGGGGCTGAGAGCAACGTTGTCGTTTTCCATTTGCATTACACAAACAATGTGGTTTGCGATGTGCACGACACAGCTGGCGAGGGAGTTGCCGGAGTATTGCAGCATAGCTTCAACACTTGCCGACGCTGTTTTTTCGTGATTGTTGGAGCTCGCATTTTCCGATCAGCCCAAAAAAGCGCAGGGGCCATTTTGCATCCGGATTGTCAAATCACATGTCTTAGCAACCCTTATTCTCAAGCACATGTCTGAAATACAAGCCAGAACCCCTATTTGGTTTTGCTTTTTGTTGTTGTTCTGCGTTGGTTGCTTTTGTGTTTGTTGTTTGTCATGTTTTGTTTGTTGTTTGTGTTGTGTTGTGGTTGTTTTGTTTGTTTGCTTGTTGTGGTTGATTGTTTTGCTTTTTGTTGTTGTTCTGCGTTTGTTGCTTTTGTGTTTGTTGTTTGTCATGTTTTGTTTGTTGTTTGTGTTGTGTTGTGGTTGTTTTGTTTGTTTCTTGTGGTGGTTGATTGTTTTTGGCTTTTTGTTGTTGTTCTGCTTTGGTTGCTTTTGGTTTGTTGTTTGTCATGTTTGTTTGTTGTTTGGTTGTGTTTGTGGTTGTTTTGTTGTTTGCTTGTTGTGTTTTGATTGTTTGGCTTTTTGTGTTGTTTCTGCGTGGGTGCTTTTGTGTTTGTTGTTTTGTCATTTTTGTTTTTGTTGTTTGTGTTTGTGGTTGTGGTTGTTTTGTTTTTTGCTTGTTGTGGTTGATTGTTTTGCTTTTTGTTGTTGTTCTGCGTTGGTTGCTTTTGTGTTTGTTGTTTGTCATGTTTTGTTTGTTGTTTGTGTTGTGTTGTGGTTGTTTTGTTTGTTTGCTTGTTGTGGTTGATTGTTTTGCTTTTTTTTGTTGTTCTGCGTTGGTTGCTTTTGTGTTTGTTGTTTGTCATGTTTTGTTTGTTGTTTGTGTTGTGTTGTGGTTGTTTTGTTTGTTTGCTTGTTGTGGTTGATTGTTTTGCTTTTTGTTGTTGTTCTGCGTTGGTTGCTTTTGTGTTTGTTGTTTGTCATGTTTTGTTTGTTGTTTGTGTTGTGTTGTGGTTGTTTTGTTTGTTTGCTTGTTGTGGTTGATTGTTTTGCTTTTTGTTGTTGTTCTGCGTTGGTTGCTTTTGTGTTTGTTGTTTGTCATGTTTTGTTTGTTGTTTGTGTTGTGTTGTGGTTGTTTTGCTTGTTTGCTTGTTGTGGTTGATTGTTTTGCTTTTTGTTGTTGTTCTGCGTTGGTTGCTTTTGTGTTTGTTGGTTGCTTTTGTGTTTGTTGTTTGTCATGTTTTGTTTGTTGTTTGTGTTGTGTTGTGGTTGTTTTGTTTGTTTGCTTGTTGTGGTTGATTGTTCTGCTTTTTGTTGTTGTTCTGCGTTGGTTGCTTTTGTGTTTGTTGTTTGTCATGTTTTGTTTGTTGTTTGTGTTGTGTTGTGGTTGTTTTGTTTGTTTGCTTGTTGTGGTTGATTGTTTTGCTTTTTGTTGTTGTTCTGCGTTGGTTGCTTTTGTGTTTGTTGTTTGTCATGTTTTGTTTGTTGTTTGTGTTTGTGTTGTGTTGTTTGTTTTGTTTGTTTGCTTGTTGTGGTTGATTGTTTTGCTTTTTGTTGTTGTTCTGCGTTGGTTGCTTTTGTGTTTGTTGTTTGTCATGTTTTGTTTGTTGTTTGTGTTGAGTTGTGGTTGTTTTGTTTGTTTGCTTGTTGTGGTTGATGATGTTGCTTTTTGTAGTTGTTATGTCTTTTTCATGTTTTGTTTGTTGTGTTGTGTTGTGTTTGTTTTGTTGTGTTTTGTGTTGTGTGTTTGTTCTATTTGTTTGTTTGCTTGATTTGTCTTGTTTTGCGTTGATTTGTGTTGTTGTTTTGCTTTGTTGGTATTGTTTGTTTGCTTGTTGTGCTTGATTGTTTTGTCTTGTTTCTTTTGTGTGATGTTGTATTATGTTTGTTTTGTGTTGTTCTGCGTTGGTTGCTTTTGTTGTTGTTGTTTGTCATGTTTTGTTTGTTGTTTGTGTTGTGTTGTGGTTGTTTTGTTTGTTTGCTTGTTGTGGTTGATGATTTTGCTTTTTGTAGTTGTTATGTCTTTTTCATGTTTTGTTTGTTGTGTTGTGTTGTGTTTGTTTTGTTGTGTTTTGTGTTGTGTGTTTGTTCTATTTGTTTGTTTGCTTGATTTGTCTTGTTTTGCGTTGATTTGTGTTGTTGTTTTGCTTTGTTGGTATTGTTTGTTTGCTTGTTGTGCTTGATTGTTTTGTCTTGTTTCTTTTGTGTGATGTTGTATTATGTTTGTTTTGTGTTGTTCTGTGTTGGTTGCTTGTTTGCTTGTTCTGTCTTGTTTTGTTTTGTTGTGCTTTGTTGTGTTTGTTTTGTCCTGTTTTCTGTTTTGTTTTGTTTGTATTGGCTGCTTGTTTGATAGGTTTGTCTTGTTTAGTGTATAGTGTTGTGTTGTGTTGTGTTTGTTGTGTTGTGACATGTTTTGTTTTGTTTGTTATTGTGTTGTGTGTTGTTTTGTTTTGTTTGATTTGCTTGTTTGCTTGTTGTGTTTGATTGTTTGATTTGTTTGTGTGTCCTGTTTTGCTTGTTTGATTGTTATGTTTTGTTTTGTGATGTTGTTGTTCTCTTTTTTTTGTTGATTGTTTTGTCTTGTTTTGTCTTGCTTTGTTTCTTGTGTTGTGTTGTGTTTGTTTTGTTGTTTTGTTTTGCTTGTTTGACTTGTTTTGCGTTGTTTTGTTTTGTTTGTTAGTTTTGTTTGTTTTGTTTGTTTGCTTGTTTGTGGTGTTTGATTGATTTGACTTGTTTGTTTTTCGTATTTTGTTTGTTTTGGTTTGCTTGTTTGATTGTTTGGTCATGCTTTGTTTGTTGTGTTGTGTTGTGTTGTTTTGTTTTGTTTGTGTTGTGCTGTTTTTTTTTTTTCTTGTTTTGTCTTGTCTTGTCTTGTTTTGTCTTGTGTTGTTTGTTTGTCGTGTGTTGTTGTGTTCGTTGTGTTTTGGGTTGTTTTGTTGTTTTGTGTTTGTTTGTTTGTTTGCGTGTCGGGTCTTGTCTTGTCTTGTCTGTTTTTTTTTTTTGGGGGGGGGGGGGTTGTTTTTGTTGTTTTTTTGGGTTGCTTGTTTTGTCTTGTATTTTGTCCGTTGCGTTGTGCATGGGTTTCCCGTTTCGTTGTGTTTTGCTCTGTTTGTTGGTGTGTTTGATCTTGTTTGTTTTGTGTTGCTGTGTTTGTTTGCTGTGTATGTATCGTGTTGTCTTATTTGTTTGCGTTTGATTGTCTTGCTTGTTGTGGTTTGCTGTGTTTGTGTTGTTTGCTTGTTTTGTCTTGTTTGTTTTGTCTTGTTTGTTTTGTTTTGTTTTGTTGTGATTGTTTTGTTTTATTGGTTCGTTTGTTTTTTGTCTTGCCTGTTTTATTTTGTTTGGTTGGTTTGCTTTGGTTATGTTGTTTGGTTTGTTTTGTTTGTTTTGTTCTGCTTGTGTTGTTTGTTTATATTTTGTATTGTTAGTTTTGTGTTTTTGTTTGTTTTGCTGTTTTCTTTTGTTATGTTTGTTTTGCTTTGTTTTGTCCTGTTTTGTGTTGTCTTGTTTGTCATGTGTGTCTTGTTTGTTTTGTTTGTTTTGTTTGTTTTGCTTGTGGCTCGCTTTTTTGTTTGTGTGTTTGGTTTGGTTGGTTATTTGTTGGTGTGTTTGTTTGTTGTTTTGTTGGTTTGTTTGTTTGTTTGTTTTGTTTGTTTGTTTGTTTGTTTGTTCCTTCGTTCGTTTGTTTGTTGTTTCTGCTCTGCTTGTTTATTTGGTCTTGTTTGGCTTCGGACTTTGCTGATCTGGTAGATTCATATCACAATCCAGGCAACGCATGAAAGCACGCGTAAATACTGTGGATGGACGAAATCCATTTCGCACCACCGTGCAGAAACCCTGGAATGCTTCGACTCCCCAACGTATATCCCAACAAGCGTTATGGTTTCAACCATGGTTTCAACGTTGTGCGAAATGGATTCCCTCCATCCACAGTATCTCCCCGTGGATGGAAACATGGGTATGGGTCAAAATTCAACTACCACGATATGGACCGCAGGTTTTAGTTCAGGTTTCCATTTTCCAGGGCAAGCCAGCTTGGGGCACCCTATTTTTGACCCACATAGTTTAGGGATGGCTCATCCGAGCCGGCGAGACCGACCATTGCAGGATATGAAGCAGCGACAAGAGATCCAGGGCCGCTACATCGAGCTCTTTAGGCGTCGGCCCGGGTTTTGTGCGCGAAGATGGATCTGGGGGCTGTCGTTTCTGCAGGGAACCCACCAAATGGGCGAATTTTCCCTGTGATTTCCATTTAGAACCGCAGAAAAGGGGTACCTAGGAAAAAGACAGACCCATGTGGATATGGGCGCCGACTATTTACCGCAAACATGGGCTGGACATTCAAAGGGTGCCCAAGAATTCATGGCCGCAAGTGGAACCCCTGCTCAAAGAGCTAGCGGGGTCCTGCCAACATGTCGAAATGGGTGTCCTGCACTTTCCGGGTATGAACCGTTTTGGGGATTCCAGAATAAAGGACACCAAATCGGGGATGGTTTTTCTTGGTCATTCCAACTCATTCGCTTCTGAGAACCAGTAAGACAAATGGCGAGGTGACTCTTTTGGAGGCGAAGGGTACCCTTCCTCCCACTCTCATGGCACCTATGAGGTGGCACCTAGAAGATCAGTTTCCCCTCGGAGGGACCCCTGTCCAGGTGCCATGGCACAGTCGGAAAGAGTGTTAATTATGCGGGGCTGTTCCACGATAAGGCTCTCCTTTTTCTTGAAGTTCGCAGCATGTGTCACTTGGTCTGTGGACTTATGTTCATATTGCTGAAAGTCTGTGCAGCTTGCACGTCTTCTCACAATGTTCTTGCCACTCAGGAGGACGAACCTGCACATTATCCTAGGATATCGAAGACCCATGCTGCTGGCCACCGAGCAGAGGAACGCACAAAATGGATGATGTCAGGTTTAAGTTCGGAACCACCCCGGCCCGGAGTAGTACGGTCCTCCATGTTGGTTGTTGGATTACGGGCGACTCTGTTGGCAAAATCGACATTGTCAGGGCTGGTTAGCCACATTCGCCAATGTCAATGTCAATGTCAATGTTCCGTAGGTCACTTCGAGATATGCACGTCGGGTTCACGTGTGTTGAAGGCGCAGTTTAGCAAGCATGCAGACCAACCGACAAGCTTTTTCGTACAGAACGACATGTTTGTTGACACTGTCAAATCCCGGGAACAAGAGACATTCAAAGCCAATCAATCATGGTCTTAGCTTTCAAAATCAAGCCTTGCTGCATCCAGTACTAGAATGATTTTCTGCATGCGAGCAACTGGGACTGCATCCCTTAGAGTTCATGCTCGGTCAGAAATCCAGTGGTCTGTGGTACATTTGGGAGGGACAAAGGGGACTCACTAAATTTACAACAAAAACCTAAGGATGACCTTCCGAGTAAACAAGCAACTTTGACCGACGTGATCATTGCCCTGCGCCAGGTCGAGCCAGGCGGAAGTCGACGAATATAAGAGCAGGCGGGATGAAAATTGCGGGCCAGCCAGCTGCCGAGTCGCTTGGCCGAGTCTCAAAATAGGAAGTTGGCACAAGCCTGACATCCATGAAACCGGGCCGTAAAGAGTGATCCTTTTGATTCTCGCTCTTGCCAGCAACTTCCGCTACATGGCAGCTTCAGAATGTTGCAGTTGTCATTTTCTGGATGTGACTTGGGTTTGCACAAAGCTGGCTTGTGGCCAATTAAGCTTCTCGACGCGGGCAACTCTGCGCTGGATCGCTGGTGTTAAGATCCGCATTCTTGGACTAGCGAGGGGATTTGGGGATTTGTGGTGGCAGTTCCTAGTGACAGGCCTTTCAAGACACGTTCCCCTCGTTGATCTTGTTTTTTTGTCTGGGAATCTGCCAGTGCCTGAGCGCCTTAGAAGCCTTGTGAGAGGCTTGCGGAACATGTCAGATCCAGGCTTGAGTGGGGAAGTCTTCACCGAGTGAATTTCCCTCTGATCGGGCCGAGCAGCCGCCATCACCGAAGTGCGATTTTGTAGAGCCAAACAACGGGCAGTGGGACGTGCAGCATGTTCGCCAGGATGGCGTCGCCGGATGCCGCACAGGCAGTGCCGGTTGCTTGCAAAGGGCCTCCCAGCAGGCTGCTCATAGGGTGTATGTTGTGCGCACGCACATACATACACATACATGTGTGATTGTGGGTGGGCTTGTGTGTAAACATGGGGACCTCCAAAATGGTGGTTTTCCTCTCGGTTTCCCTTTAGCCCAACTTCCAAAGCGGGGTGTACGAAAACACACAACCCCGCGTATCTGTGTATATATACATACACATACTCAATCCAGTTGACAGACGTAGTAGCCGATTTCTTGTTTGTTTTTGAATCTTCAAGCCCACTTCAACCAACTCCGGCAAGTGCATTGCCGATGAGGTGAATTCCGGGGCTCCCAGCCACTGATTTCAGCATGCTGAATGCACGAATGAGCTTACATTGCTCACCCAGAGCCAGCTATCACTCAGAAGTGCCACGTAGAAGGCGTCAGAAGCAACAGTCCACCAGTATTTGATTTCCAGCTGGTTTTGGGGACACGGCAGTGCCTGATGTTGTCTTTTCAGTGCTGTACTTACCTTGTCAAGTACCACCACCATGAGCGACCTCCGGCATTCCAGCTGGCCTAGATGATTTAGCTAGCAGACGCCCTGGTTCCCCAAACCTAGAAGGTGTCAATCAGAAAGGCCCGACATGGGGTCTTTTGATTTTCAAGAGTGTTTGCCGTGAAAGGGAAAGCAACAGGAAGCAATAGTACTTCCCAAAAGTTCCAAAGTTGCCACTATTTGGGAGGTTCTCCATTTTGGGCTCTTCTCTCCTTCATTTTTGTTGCGTTCTTCTTTTTTTTTTTATATTGTTTTTGGTTGTTGGGTTTTTCTCTCTTGTTTGCGATTTTTTTAAAATTGTTTTTGGCTGTTGGGTGTCTTATTTATGTTTGACCAAAGAGAACCAACAGGCCTTCCCCTCCATTTGGGGGGGGAAGGCCGGCGCCTGGGGCGGAGCGCCGGCAGGCGCGCCAGGGCGCGCCTTCCGGGTCTTGGGTTGGTTCCAGGTTTTGGGGTTGGTTTTTACGGGGAAGCCGACAGGTTTGGGTGGGTTCAAAGACAAAAAACCCGCAGGAACAAACTATGTTTTTTTGGTGCTATGTGTTTTTTGGTGGGGGGGGAATCCCCTCTTTGGAGTTGGTATGCGCCGCACGTTTGGGGCGGGTTTTTAGGGGAAACCAAAGGGAATTCACCCAGGAGGAAGGCCCATGAGGGAAACCAAGCAAACAGCAAGGTTTGTTTGAAGGGATACCAAAAGGGAAACCAAAAGGAAAACCCAATGCATTTGGGGGAACTACACCAACACTTGTCTCAGAGCTCATTGGTTTTTAGTCGCGATTGCCAGGCTGTTGAGTCCAATGTTCAATTCATCGTCCGAATTCCAATTTCAGTCTGGCGCCATGGCCCCACCCAGCTTTGTCCCTTGAAGAAACCAACTTGGTCTGTGTCATCCTTCCCATGGCGAGCGCGATAGGGTTCCAGTAGCTCATGTAGATCCTTGAGCCGATCCTTCCAGCGATTCCACGGACGCTCAATTGGAAGACTTGGTTCCAGCGGCCTTTTGGAAGCTTCATTGTGAGGCGACAGGGTCAAATTTCCATATTTGGTGTGGTTTCTTTTTTGGGAGTTGGTACAATTTTGTTGGGGTGATTTCAAGGGAAACTAAAAGGACAACCACCCTATTTGGGGGCCATTCTTACAAAAGACATCCCCGATTGGTCTTTTTGCACCACCTCATCCGTCATCCCCCAATTTGATCCAATTTGGGGGGCTTCCGATTTTTTGCGAGGATACCATTTTGCGGCTGGTCTCAAGGGAGCAAACTCGATAGGACACCACCCAGGAGGTCCTCCTACCTATTCCTATTTTGAGACATCACCTCCGGACCTCTCCGGAAGGCTGGCCTGGGCCCGGCTGGGGCCGGGCTCCTCAGCCCCGCGTGCGAGAAAGCGAACGCTTTTCTCGGGCCATGGTGATGACGAGTTTTACTCACTCCTTGCGTTCATGAACTTTAGAGACTTTCTTCGGTTTGGACCATTTCAGTGGTAAACCAAAAGTGGGTTCACTTTTTTTGTTGTCAGTCAACTCAGGAAGTGAGTTTAGGGGAGCCACGCAAAAAGCGCTGGGTGTCTGTTTGGCTTCCCTTTCAAACAATGAGAAGAAGCAGAACCCGTGGTCGTCCTCATTAGGTTGTTGAAACATCAACTTGCGGGATCAAACCAAACCTGTCCCCTTTTGCCCGAAACCAAACTAAGGTAGTTCACACGAGCCGGTTTGAACAAGGGTTTGGCACAACCCTGGTTGACCTCTAGAGCAAAAGACGGGGACACCCTCCAACAAAGATAGGAATCCTTTGTTGCGCGGTCCAAAAGTTATACCTTTGCGAGTGTGTGTGTGTGTGTGTGTGTTGTGTTGTGTCTAAATAGTGCAACACACATACAGAAAAGAAAGGAATCAATAGTTGCATGCATGCATACATGCATGCATACATTACATTCCATTACATTACCTTACATTACATTGCGTTTCATTACATTACATGACATATCATTTCAGTACATACATACCTACTTGCCTACATGCCTATATGCCTCCATACCTACACACCTACACACCTGCACTCCTACACACCTAGATACCTTCATACCTGCATCCCTACATACCTACATACTTATACACGCCAACATACCTACATGCCTACACACCTATATACCTACACACCTACGCACTTCATGCCTATATACTTATACACCTACACACCTGCACACCTAGATACCTACATACCTACACACCTACCACCTACATACATGCATACCCACATGCCTACATACCTACATACTTGCATGCCACATGCCTACATGCCTTCATGCCGCCTGCCTGCATATCTACATACCTACATGCTACATGCCTACATACCTTCCTGCCTACCTGCCCACCCACCTACCTACCTACGTACCTACCTACATATACATATACACATGCACACGCAGACGCAGGCGTGCACTCGCACATGCAAATGCACACGCATACAGACTCAGACACAGACACAGACACAGACATAGACACAGACACAGACGCAGAGACGCAGAGACGCAGAGACGCAGAGACGCAGACCTACAGACACATAGACACACAGACACACAGACACACAGACACACAGACACACAGACACACAGACACACAGACACACAGACACACAGACACACAGACACACAGACACACAGACACACAGAGACACAGAGACACACACACACACACACAGACACACAGACACACAGGCACACGCACACGCACACACACACAGGCACAGGGACATGGACAGGCGCAGGCGCACACACTCCCTCTCTCTACATACAGATGAGCGAGCAAAGCAGTCACCAGCCACCCAGCCTCAGCAGATGGACGGTCTCCCTCTCTCTACATACAGATGAGCGAGCAAAGCAGTCACCAGCCACCCAGCCTCAGCAGATGGACGGTCTAGCAGGCGCTTCGATGATTCCTAGGTACTTCGGACAAGCCTGGCTACCAGCACGGAGGCTGTTTCTTCTTGGGAGCTGCCCAACCTTCTGCAGCCATTTTGAAACAGGTTCCACGTCAAAATGCATATCCGCCTTCACGTCAAAAGCCGACTGATTTCCCAACGCAAAAGGGCAAAAGGGGAGACTTCTAAAGGGGGCAAATGCGTCACTGACACCCGAACTGAGAATAGTGGCCCCAGAAAAGCCCGCCCCAATTCTCTTTGAGTTCGGCCTACCAGGGGGGCTGTCCAGCAACTGGAAATCAGGGGAGCCTGCAACAAGGAAACTGTTTCATCCAGACTCAGCTCTGCTGTCAGCGTCACTTCCCTGGGATTGAGCCGGCAGCCCTTTTAATTATGAGATGAGATCAACCGCTTAGAACTAGGCTTTGGGCGTTGCTCATGTGGAAAACATTGTACGAACCATTAGTAATGTTCAGCCAAATCTGGGGTGTACGCTTCGGGAACACACATCCTGATCATTTCCTGACGCTTGCCGTCTTAGTGCGTAGATTTTTCTGCTTGGCCGATTCATCCAATCGGCGAGGCGATTGGACTCAAATGGCGTGGAAGGGAGATGCGCACCTTGGCCAGAGCAAAGGGTCATGCCAATTTCACTACATTGCAAGGGGGTTTTCCTATATCTTGGAATTCGCCCTCTGGGGAATTACTCTGTTCTAGCCCATTTGGGATTATTTGGGGAAATTTCCCTAGGGTGTAAGCCCAGGTGTAATAGGAGAAAACCCTCAGATGCGTTGGGTTCCTTTTGGTTTGTTTGCTGCTCCGGGCCGTTTTGAGAAACTCCCACATGGGTTGAAAAAGAAACCAACTTTTGGTTATGTGAGGGCCCGTCCTGTAGCTTTCCTTGCAGGCCGGGAACACTGTAAACCGATGCTGAGGGAAAAAACAGATACCGGTAAAAGCCATGAAGACACATATCAGGTCCAAGGTGTTGTCGCAAACCAAGATTGCGAAAACATAATTTGCAGGGCCCAAGCCGATACCCAAACCGATGCCCAACCGATACCCAACTCATTAGCCGCCCTGCCAAATCCCTGGAGCTGCTAAAATGTACTTTGTACTACATTTGTACTGAAAAGTTGCGATTTTCCAGCCGGAGCTGCCAAATTGTACTTTGTAGACTGCACTATAATACACTTGTACTCAAAAGTTGCAACTTTGGAGCCGGACGTGCCAAAGTGTACGTCTAATACCACACTTGTACTGAAAATTTGCGACTTTCGAGCTGGAGCAGCCTAAATACACCTTGTGCACTACACTTGTACTGAAAAGTTGCGACTTTCGAGCTGGAGCTGCGAGAGTGTATACCGTCTACTACACTTGTACTGAGAAGTCACGACTTTCGAGCAAGAGCTGCCAAAAGACTGCAAGCCGATGCAGAGGAAACTTCACCAGGGTTGTCCACGGCTTTTTTCCAGCCCACATGGGTTCCCTTATGGCTCATGACACGAGCGTGCGTTCAAAGTGTTACGGGCCGAAGTTCGGCTGACTTTCTGAGAGCCCACACGCAACATGTGGCTCTCTTTGGGTGATTTACTTATCCACTTCTCTTTGGTATGATCTACAAACAACATTGTTTAAAAACTTGCTCGGGGAGGACATGGGGTCCAAGCTATTTGAAACGGGATACAAATGCAATCCAAGATGCAAAGCCCATAGCTGTCATTGTTCAGCTGTTCCTCCGAAGTGAAAAGGTTGAAGCGGCGGTGACGGCCAAAATGTGGTTCAGAGCCGAGTTAACCTGTTTTACACTGAGGTGTCCTCAATCCGTGAGCTATTTGCCTTCAGTCTTTGCCTGAAGCATTACACACGGACCAGAAACAGTCTTGTCATGTGCGAACTCTGGAGGGAAAGAATCTGGCTCAAAGACCAACCCAGCTTGGACCTTTCAGCATTCTGCGGAGGCACTGAAGCGCACGAATAGGGGGTTCAAGGCACGCTTAAGCTGAGAGACCCTCAAACTGGCTGGTTTTTATACAATTTGGGGTCGACTTGCTAGGAATGCTTGCTCCCCTTGTGACTTCCCAAGGCACGGCCTTGGCAAAGGCGGGGCGATGGGTGCTTCGCACTTTTCACGTGAAATGACGTAGCTCATAGCCCTTTAAGTTTTGGTCCGCCCGGCCCAAAGGACCCTTTGGTCCGAGTTCGGTTTTGAGTCCCACGACTTGTGCCAAGCGTCGCCAAGAGCGATGCGGCAGTTGGAAACTTGTTGTCCCGTTTTTGCGCCATTGACAGCGTCGAGCTTGGTTTTTGCGAAAGCTTCTTGGGATGGATGTTCTTTTGGTGTGTGAACCATGTGGCTTGGAGTTACAATTTGGTGGACATGACGTGCTGCTGGTTAGGGCTTTGCTGGGCATGCTTTGTCACGTTGACGGCACCATTGCGTTTAGCTAGGCTGCCAAAGGGGAGATGCATGCTGAACACATGGCTGCGGAGGAAAGTCCCAGAGAGAAGAACATATTCCTCTGCAAATAGGCTTTGCCACACACAAACACACGAGACTACAATTCGCTGCGACCGCCCCTCCAGCCTCCCGCCATGCAATTTTGGGGTTTTGGCACACTCTGAGAAGTGTTTCAGATGGGCGGTAGAGTAGCAGGAACCAGTTGAGAATGACCACTCGGTTGACCGTCTTTGGGTTCAAGACATCCAACTTTTCGTTTCTTTTAAGTCATCCCTTCCTGGTGATATGCGCCAACTACCGTCATTAGGTACAGTTGAGACGAGCAAATTGACAAATTACAGCGAGCTCAGTCAGGAAACATCCACTTCAACCCAGATCTGCTCGAAGCGAGAGACATGACGACTCCGCACGGCTTTATGTTTCGGTGCGTGGCATAAACACTCAGAGAGTGATTGCATACTCGCTTCTCTCTCGAGAACTCGAGAAATTGAGACCTATGGTGACATGGCCAGAACCAGTCAACTACTTCACCACAGATGAACACGGAACCCAAAAGGAGGTTTCCCAAAAGAGATTCCGCCAACCGTCTGGATTTGTGGGTTCCAGTGTCAGAGTGTGATTTTGAGCCCCTAGAGGCCCTAGATAGGGTCCAGGGTTTCGATGGAACTGAGCAGTCCGTGCATTTTTTCTCCCGTGGACTTGGCGCTTTTGCTGCTGAGGACTTTCGAAGTGAGGGCGCGAGCCGAAAGCGCCGAATGCGCAGCGGTCCAATTTCCTTGACGCAGCATTTTTGGGACCTTCTCAATAGGAAATCAATGTCTTGCCCAATTTGTGGTTTGTGGCATGTTTTCTGGGTGGCGACTGGGTTAGACCCGGGGGTGCCATGGTTTCCCGTCACTAGATGCTTGACCTGAACTTGGACCGTCCGTGCCGTCGGCAACCAGAAGTTGAGCCTCAGAAATGTGCTGGTAGGAAGTCTTCATGGGAAGCCCACCAGAGTTCAACCTTGCTGGTTGTTCAAGCCACTATGTTGCCTTTCTGATTGGGTTCGACCTCATTGAAGAACAGGCGTCCACAAAGGACTGGCGTGTCGCCACACATCATTCGCCGACATATATCAAGAGAAATGTTGTTTGGCTCTGATCCTCAACTCTGCCCATCCATTTGTTTCCCACTTGAGCACTGAAAGAAGTAACAAACATGCAGATAAGAGTGCCATTCGCGTCAACGAGATCTCACCTACAGGATAAAATCTGAGCCGAGTGACAGACTTCTAAGATGGGCTTGACGTATTGACTACCTCAAACAATGCCAGCCTCGTGTTCAGCACCTAACACGCTCATTTAAAGAGAGGTCCTTGAGTTTTTGGAAGCTGCATGCTTTAGGGGATCATGAGTGTGCTGATTTGTGCTTAACGATGATTTGCTGTTACTTGCACAAGTGAGCAGAAGTGTGAGCGAAGCCCAGAAATCGCTTGTTGGTTGTGTTGCGAGCTGGATGCTTTGCGAAATGTCGCGATCTTTTGTTTTGCAACATTGGGCACCATCAGCAGATTTAAAAAACCTTTTTTTCCGCTTTGTGTGGCCTTTGGCAGGGTCCAATCCTATTGCAGCCACCATCTTCTGGTTCCAGCTATTTTTCCATTCATCATTTCCTAATGGCCCGCATACCTTTTGAGGAGATATTTGGGTCTGGTTTCGCCTATCCAAAACCATCCTCAAAAAGGCACTTTCTCTTTCGAACTGTGGCCCCTTGGTTCACTGGGGTCCCATGTTCCCCGTTTTACGTGGTTCTAGACATGACCTTGTTGGCCCATTTTGCACCACTTTGAAATCATGCTTGAAACCGTTGTTTCTTGGTACTTACGTTGGGAATTGAATCATTCCAGGGCTTCTGAACGGTGGTGCAGGATTTCGTCCATGCACTGTAGCACATCCCACAATGAATCCACTTGCCCTCGGAAATCTGACACGAATCCCCTGCCTTCGATTCAAGACTCAAGAGTCGTGCAATAAGAGGGTGGTGGGATCAAGAGGTTTCTGTGATACTCCAGGGAATCTCCCCCTTTGATCCCTTTGTATGGGGGGTTAGTCTTTGGGAAGCCCTTTTTGTTGTCGTCTTTAAAGGGGAGATAGGGAACCACCCTGTTTCAACAGGTCTTCAGGCTCCGACCAGTGCGAGCTCCGAGCGAGTGGCATGTCTCACGATGTGAGTCTGCCCGTTAACAAAAGGGCTCCCTGCGCATTGGTCTTTCTGGTCCGCTTCCTTGTTGCTTAGGTGTTTGTTTTTAGAAGCACAAAGCAGCTTGTTTGTCCACAGGGGTTTCATTTTTGGAAGCATCGCGCATTGCAGTAGCAAAGTTTGGGGGCAGCCAGAGAGATATGGGTGTGTGTCAAATAGGGGCACCTCAAGAATGGGTATGCGTTCCTTGTGTGTTTCTTGTTAAAGAACAACCCGAAAATGGAACTGAGCCTCAAAAAACACGACATGACCTCTACACCCAGTCTCGTTTTTGCCCAAGCCTTCTTTGACTTGCTGGTTCGACAAAAATGAGGGAATGACCCCTACAAACGCACCGGCAAGTTGAAGTCATTGAGACACAAAAGGCTTGTCTTTGCGGGGAGAAGGAAGGTGTCCGTTGCGTCCCAAGAAGCGGCCCCACTTCTTCCTTTTATGTCTCGTGGACATAGGAGACAGCCTGAAAAGTGGTCTCTGTGACACTGTCAAAAATGCCGCCCAAACAACTTGCTGGTGCGATAGGTAGGGATGACCCAGGGCAGGAATGGACCTAGGGTTTCCCCCGACAGAAAACCATTGGCTTCCCTGCCTAGCGAACCAGCAACAAAAGGGGAGTGATTCGGGCGACGACTCTCTCTCATACCCTCAGATCAGATCTCGCTGATCTTCCACGCAGGTGACACCAACTGGGGACAGGGATGTGGTCACCATTACTTTCGGCACCGGCGAGATCAGCGGAGTCTTCATGAAGGACTCGCAGCACTCCATCTTTGGCTGCAATAGTCAACGTCCTATCCGTAGGTACCATGAAAATATTGGAACTGTGGCAAGTGCCCTGTTTTTTGTTTTTTAGGTGTAAGTTGCAGAAAAAGCTGCAGCTTTGGCAAAAAGCTGCAACTAAGATGTTCAACTTTGCCAGAGTGAGATGCAGCGTTACTCCATGTGGAATGGAGTGGGAGACAGCAAACTTTAATCAACCAACATGTCCAGTGCAGTAGGCATCATGTTGGTCCCTTGCTTGGGGACCAGAGTACCGCACCATTCTTTTGACAAATAACCACTTGCTCTAGTTGGAATGGACGCCGTTCCTTCTTCCTTCCGGTGAGTTCTTCTGGGCCATGCTACAAAACGCGGCGAGCGGCCCTTTGTGCAGAGCGGCTTCGCTGAGGACCATCTCTGCTTGGGCGGCATTTGCACCCACGGGAACTTCATTTCGGTGACTGAGGCCTTTGCGCGGGTTCGAACAGCTATGGTTTTTGTGCCAGAAACACGGGGGCAACACGTGTTTCTGTTTTTTGAGGCCGCTTTCTGGGTTGGTTGTAAATGGAAACCAAAAGAACAACACCAATTTTGAGGGTCCACCTATTGTCAACTTGGAAAGGAGGACCTGTAAACCCACCGGAGGATTTCTCGCCCATAGCCACGAAAGCGGAACCTGCAACTTGATGTCCTTCAAGCCAAAGCCCTGATGCCGCATCGACTTTTGACTTTTGTGGAGTAAGGAATTCCAAAGGCGTTCCCATAGTTACAGGGCGTGCCTTTCCAAAACATTCCTTTACTTGCCAAGGGTCAAAGAGTAAATTGTGCACGCTAATATTTTGAAGATCCTTCCGGATGCAAGAGCGTTAGTCTTTCTGGCGAAATTTAGTCCAGTCTTTGGCTTTAAGGCGTTGGCTGAGCGTAAGGATCAGAACAGAAGGTTTGAACATGCAAGCAGCATAAGTGTCCCTTTGATCGGTTAGTTTGGTGGTTAGAAATAGATGGCACTGGTGTAGAGACTGGTTTTATGCCCTATTTCACAGGGAAACCCACCTATCTTTCCAAAAGGTCATGGCAAGCGGCCCTTTGTGCAAACACTTGCTTCAAGCACTTTTGCCCTTGTCCAGCCAAAAAGGCACGTTTCAATTAGTTGGACATGCGTGCTGGACAACTTCTTTCGGATGATTTGTGGTGTAGCAGGCAACTAAGACAGCCATTGTAAAGGTCCCCTGAATAAACAGAACCATGACCATGCCCCACGGGAAGTTTCCACCATGGTGTATAAGCCCGAAGTTGTCTCGCTATTGAACCTTTCAACGGGGGTCCATGTTTACTCTACGCGAGAACTCGTTGGAACACATAACATGGCGGATCTGCCTACGAATGTTCACTCTCATGATAAGCATGTTGTTCAACCTTTCTTAGGCAAGCCTGCAGTGTTCAGAAGGCTTTTTGGAATCACCACTCCATCTCTTTGTTCCAACTCAACTCGTTTGGCACCCATGGGTGTGTCAAGTATTGAATATTCTTTCAGGCTTGCTGCGATGCAGTGGGACTCCGCTTGAAAGGCTCGAAATAGTTTCACTTTTGTACTACATAAAATGTGTTTTGTTCCCACCAGCATGGTATGAAGGAATTGGGGGGACAATGTGTCATTGACATCACAATCCGCAAACCATTTTCCAACGGCAGGATTTGCCTTCAACTGGGATAAGGGCTTTTGGTTTCTCTTTCGTTTCCCTTTGTAACCACCCAGAAGGGGGAAGTTGGGTCAGAATGCCCAGTTGTTGGTCTACACCAGGGGGGCTTGCTAAAAGTTGCAGAAACCAGCATCTTTAGTTTATACGCCCATGCCCTCCGCGGGCAAACTTTGACCGTGAATCAAATGGGTATGTGCCAAACTAGGGCTCCCTCTTACTGGACTTCGATTAAAACTGAAGACCTGTTTGGTTCTGTTTGGTTCCTTACAAACGAAGGATTTCGAAAAACAAGCACAAAGCATACGCTATTGTCAATGCGTGAGCCACTCGTAATGCCCCACTTGCAATGAATTTGGTTTCATTGCAGCCGGTTTCTGATTTTGGTTGCCAAGCCTCCAAGCAACACACTCTTGGGCACCAAAGAATGCTTCCATTGCTTAAGACTATGCGTTATTTTCCCCTGTTGGTTTTAGAGGGAATCTATCACTACTGGGAAAAACGTTTTTTTTTCCCCCCGCGTGGGTCTTAAGCAAATGGAGGAATGGCTTGCTTTCCTCTTGGCTTCCCTTTCAGATAGACCAAAACGGGGCTCCAAGCGGATCGGTCCAGCCACAAGGCTCCAAGCGAAGTCCTTCAGGAGACGGAGCAGCCCTTCAGCCTCGTGCCCTTCGACGGGATCTTCGGGACGCCCTCACTCGCTTCTTGAGATGAACGCCCTGGATACCAGAATCACTCTTCTGCTTGTTTGTTTGTTTGTTTGTTTGTTTGTTTGTTTGTTTGTTTGGCTTGTTTGTTTCGCTTGTTTGCCTTGTTTGGCATTCTTGTTTGTTTGTTTGTTTGGCCTTCTTGTTTGTTTGTTTGTTTGATTGATTGATTGATTGATTGATTGATTGATTGTTTGATGGTTTGTTTGTCTGGCTTGTTTTGTTTGTTTGTTTGTTTGTTTGTTTGTTTGTTTGTTTGTTTGTTTGTTTGTTTGTTTGTTTGTTTGGCTTGTTTGTTTGGCTTGTTTGTCTTGTTTGGCTTGTTTGCCTTGTTTGGCATTATTGTTTGTTTGTTTGTTTGTTTGTTTGTTTGGCCTTCTTGTTTGTTTGTTTGTTTGTTTGTTTGGCATTCTTGTTTGTTTGGCTTGTTTGCCTTGTTTGGCTTGTTTGCCTTGTTTGGCATTCTTGTTTGTTTGTTTGTTTGTTTGTTTGTTTGTTTGGCCTTTTTGTTTGTTTGTTTGTTTGATTCATTGATTGATTGATTGATTGATTGATTGATTGATTGATTGATTGATTGATTGATTGATTGATTGATTGATTGTTTGATGGTTTGTTTGTCTGGCTTGTTTTGTTTGTTTGTTTGTTTGTTTGTTTGTTTGTTTGTTTGTTTGTTTGTTTGTTTGTTTGGCCTTCTTGTTTGTTTGTTTGATTGATTGATTGATTGATTGATTGTTTGATTGTTTGATGGTTTGATGGTTTGTTTGTCTGGCTTGTTTTGTTTGTTTGTTTGTTTGTTTGCTTTTTGTTTGTTTGTTTGTTTGTTTGTTTGTTTGTTCGTTTGTCTGTTTAGCGTGTGTGTCTGTGTGCTTTAGCGTAGACCATATTAAAACCAGGTCTTGATTATGACTCCTGCGCTGTTCCCCACCGGCTCCGTTCAAGGGGCTTCTGACCAACGATCCGTGCACTCGGCGATCGCCAGGTTGGGCCTGCCGCAGATGTCCCAGGCACCCCATTTCAATGCTCGGAGGCCAAGCTCCTCTCGCGACCCAATGGAGACGCGAGATAGATATGGGGCTTGATCAATATTCCGTTCGGCCCCAAATCGACCACGGCGATTTTCGACAAGCCGAAGTGACACCACCCAAGGCTTCCCCTATGAGACACTTAATGGGGAACCACTTCACAAGTAGTTGGTGGACATGAATCCCCACCTAAATGTCCACCACAGCTTCCGGGACCCATCAACAAAGCACGCCCCCATATCCCTTTTTGGGGTTGGTCCAAAGGACGTTGCATGGGATGACCATTGGGGAAAACCACTAAAAGATGATACATCAACCACATGGAGAAAGTTACCCGCGAAAAAGGACGTACTGCTTTAATCTTGTGTTGTCGTCTTTTCTTGGCATGCTGCCCTAAACTGTGCCAAACGGCCTCAGACTCTGCAGAGCCCGGCTGCCTTAATTTGGCGCTTGGATTGATGCGCTGGCATTTGTATAGGTTTGTTTGGGGGAGTTTGGACGGTTACCTCTGAAGCAGTTTAACGTTGCCGACAAACGCCTGTTCAGTATGTATATCATTTGCTTACACAGGAATGCAGCCCCCCAGCGAGGCTGTATGCTCGAGCAGCAAGCTTGACCAATCAGTCCACCAAAAACCGTGGGCAACACAAACACAAGGACCAGGATTGGTAGACACTCCAAACTGTGTCGCTTCAAATGCCATATCGTGTATTGTCCAGCATATATATATATATATATAAAAACTTTGCGAATCCAAATATGAACTTGTATACCAGATGAGCTCAACATATTGTAGCTGGCTGCTGTGATGCATTCATCGACACCTGTTCTACAGGCTGACAGGTTCCGGCAACGCCCTCATCTTCAAAGTAAACACATGTATATATATATATACACATATGATATATTTTTGCTGGCTAGACCTCATCTAACTTTACAGGCAGCCGCGGAGAAAGAAGGGGTCTGCCGTGTCAACTCGAACTTCTGTGTATCGCAGTTCTTTGTTTATCCAACAAACATAATTCGTCATTTATTTTGTTTGCCGTTCCGTGATTTTGAGCTACAAGTGAAATCGAGCCATTACTTGTGAGGTCTGCCCCACAATTGGTATGTTTTGCCCTCATTCTTACAGAAGCGTGGCTTCATGAAAGGACGGGTCAAATACCATCTTTCCCATTCCTGTCTGTGACTAACGGGGACTCCGTGCTCATTCATGCCCTTTGCTGTGTCCAGTATCCGAAGTCACGGCCGCAGGTCTTTGATTGCATGGTTCGGGACAAGGCAAGCTTCGCTCTCGGATGTCGCGCTCTTCCTCGTGCGCAAGGAGGTACCGACTGACGCCTGAAGGCAACCCCGTAAAACGTCATCCAAACAAGGTTTTTCTTTGGACCCGGGTTTGGGTTTGATTGAGTTCGTCAACATGAGAGGGGGCAAGCAGTGTACGTTATTAAATCCTTTCAGATTTGGAGGCAGGTGCTGGCAAGTTGCATAGGATGACTCTTTGCAAGGGTATGAACATGCAGCACCGTTGAATCACCTCACAGTCGGCAAACATATGAGGCAAGCTAATCGATTCGCCCACTCCGCAGTGCAGCCAGAAATTTGAGGTGAAACTTCCGTGGCTGAGGTTCACCTTTAAACTTGAACTGGGTTTTGGGCAGCATGTTCAAGATGTGCCGGCCTTGCAACTCCAGTTGCAAGTCATGGCACATCTTGATTTGCTTGCGTTTTGCTCTGTAGGTCCTTGCAATGTGTCCTCAAAACGTCCCATTTGGGAAGATGTGTTTATGCACTTTACGCACTGACCCGAGTCAGTGTTTAGCCTGGGATCATTTGGGGTGTCGTTCGATGTCCTTTGTATGGTTTGAATGGCTTTGGGCTACGAACCATGGTGCCAGGTAAATTGTTGTTTTTTTGCCCCAAGACCCTCTGCGCATGAGTGAAAGTCCTCGCCCGAATCATTGATGTCCTATTGAGTTCTGTTTGAGATTCTGTGTTGACACACTTTCGGCCGAGTCCCCTGCCGCGCTGGTCTGGCACTGATCTCGTTTGCGGGGGCTTGCTCTCCAGAGTTGATTGGTTTGCCTGGCTTGCGATGCTTTCTCGAAGTGGGAAACTGAAGCGGAGTGCCAAACAACTACAGACCCTAGCGTCTTGGTGGTTTGGATTGGTTTGGGGATTTGCACCCAAACTTACACCACATCGGGACGGTACTGCTTAAGGCCCAAACCAAGCCAAAACAAATACTTGCTGGTTCTCGGTGGGGAATCATCAGGGAGGTTGGGAATGAATGTAGGGATCCCCTGAAAGGACACCCTCATTCCCTGCTGAGCACCAGCCAGAAGAGGGGTAAGTTGTTTGTTTGCCGCCTCGCTTCCCCTACCCTTTGACCAGCCTTTGCCTCGCATCCATGGAAATGGCATCATCGCGCAGCTGTCGTCTACGATAGGCGCTGAAGCGGAATCTGTTCTCCGTGTTCTTGGCTGCGAATGATGACGAGGAGAGCGAAATATCTTTCGGCGAGTGCCCCTGACATTGACTCTGACGACACGAGGATACTGAGGCAAGCCTTGGTGGTTTGGATTGGTTTGGATTGATTGGTTTGGATCTGGATGTGAATCCTTTCTTGTAGAGGGTAAATGGGAAACCACCCCGGAACACCTGCAAACCATCAATCCGGAAATCACCAATGAAAGGGAAGCTGATATATCTCGTTGGTGTTTCAGGGATGGCGGCTATGCAAGACAGTGCCAGAGCCAGCTAATTAGTGCGGTTTGCTCAACAGACCAGGATGAGCACGTGCAACGCATCGGCGGGAAAGCATGGATAAATTATATGAAGTTGCTACTCTGATCTTGAACTGCTTTGTCAGCTTCGGCAATTGTCACGGTCACGGAGAAGTACTGTCACCCTTTCTCACAAACAAGTTGTTTGGCCGATACAGGGCCAGTTGTTGGCACATGAACCACTCAAGATGGCAACCGTTTTCCTTTGGCACCATGTCGCCCCTCTCACAACACTATGCTTTTTCAAGTTTCACCTTTTCAAATTCTCAGTACGCCCAACTGGTACCATGCCAGATAGCCTATTCGGCTCAAGCTGGACGCAACTTGTTTCGTCAAAGACAGTCCGGACTTGAACAGCACAGGTTTGCTTGAAGGAAAGCCTGGAATCAGGACTCCTGTTTTGGATCGCAACCGCATGCAAAGGTTGATCAAAAGAGCAAGGTGTCTACACTCCTGCTGTAGCGGATGGGTCCCCATTCCTTTCAACCATCGTTTCCTGAAGTTTGGGCGGTTATGGAAAGAAGGATCCCTAATATGGAAGCTACTCTACGTCTTTTCCTTTCCGGGAACGCAGGTACAAAGCCAGCCGCATGTCGGGCGAGCTCTTCTGGGTGCCCGTCTCCAACCCTGGCTACTGGCAGGCGCGGGGCCATTTTCCGCCGACACTCACAGACGCAATTTGTGCCACACCAGATAGTGATTCTGGCTTCACTGTATATAAAACCACAACAAAGGAGTTCCCTCGAGGAAAAGAGAGACCCGCAACCTGTATTCTCATAGGTGCTTATAGGTGTCTTTTTCAGGTAGGGCCATCTATTCTACCAAAAGAACGGATGATTCTTACAAGGTTTGGGATATTCACAGAAGGCGATATCTTGTGCAGTGGGTTCCCACTTCTCAAAGCACCTCTATGAACAAATCTTTTGGCGCGAGGTCGCATTAATGTTGGCTCTATGGTTTTTGAATGTTTTTGAGACCTCTATGAACAGGTCTTTGAGGGGTCACATTTGTTGGCTCCATGGCTGCAACCCACGGCCTGCGCGGCCTCCGCTTTTCAGCCGACGGCCTGAAGGTGGAGATGGAAGATGTGACCATCGGCAAGGAGATGCAGAACTTGTGCAAGGGCCACTGCCAGGCCGATGCTTGGCTTGGGTCAAACTCGGCATGTTTCACATAGGGAGAGGGGGATTTTGGGATTTTGGTTGGGTGAAATTCGGCATGTTTCACAGGGTAGGAGACTGAACGGACAAAGGATTCATGACAACGGTGAGGCATTCTCGAAGGTGAACTTTCTTTCAGGGTGGTGCATGGCTTGCCATTCGCGTGCACGCAAAGAATGGCACAGTCTGAATCCATGCTCGCTTTAGCGTGCATGTGCCAACCGAGGTTTTGACGAAGCCTCGATACATGTGTGCAGTGTGTGTGCAAGGCCGCTTCTTTGTTGGGGGCGCATCGGCGCGATACCGTTGTAAGTTTTTAAAGCAAGCAAGTCCATAATGGAAGACCACCTGGTTGTTTTGGGCTCCTAATTTGGGACTACTCCCCAGGCTAACATGGAAGCTCCCAGGACTCTTTGGAAGACTTGGTCAGGCCTTCTTGGAGCTTCCGGCTGTTAGTCTGAGGAAGTGTAACACGCGAGAAGACTCATACCCCGGAAAAAGCGCGCGAGAGAACGTGCGCATCGCAGGTTGCGGTGGACACTGGGACTTCTTTGCTAGCTGGGCCTACGGATGTCGTAGGCTTGGTCGAGGTCTCGAGCTATGGTGAAGCAATTTATGAATCAACACGAGATCATGGCTGGGATGGTTTGACAGGAATCAGCATGAGTTACCAAAACCAACATTTGAATGTTTGTAGCTGACATTTGTTCTCAGTCGAAGCTGATTTGCGATTGATTTCCGCCAATGGTCAGCCAAGGTGCTTTCGGGCAGTTGAGGTAGCCAGGGGCAGAGATTGCATCATTACTAACTTCGGCCGTCTCAGACAAATCCAGCCCACCAGCCGCAAAGAGATTCGGTGTTGACCTTTGGGGTTGGTTATGTTGGAAAACCAGAAGGAACACAACCATCTTGCGGGCCCCCGAATGTAACACAGAATTCCCCACATTATGAGAACCATTTTCTTGGTCTAAAGAGCACCTATCGAACGATGGAGACTGCACAATTTTAGGGGAGCCCAACAGAGTTAGTATTGTTGTATGGGCCCAAACAGATTTGAGCTTTCATTGGATTTAGCTCTGCTGGAGCTTTGTGTTGAAATTTGGATCTGATTGTCCCTTTGATCTAGTCTTTGACATTGCTGGATTTGAAAGGTAATTGGCTGTTGCCGCAAGCATCACGAAGGGTTCCTCCGCCAAGTGCACTTTTGCACTTTTTCTTGCAAGGAGAACTTGCATAGAGAAACAGAACTTGCACAGAGAACTTGCATGGAGAACTTGCATAGAGAACTTGCGGTGAACTTGCACAGAGAACTTGCGCAGAGAACTTTCGCGAAAAGTTGCGCAAGGAAAACTTGCAGAGAAAACTAGCGCAGGGAACTTGTACAGAGAAGGTGGAGCGCGGCCAAGTTGCTTTGTGCCTGCTTCGAGTTGCTGGGGTTTGGTTGGGGTCTTACGGCTGCGGTGGGCTATGGCCTTCGAGGCACGGCATGCCCTGTCGCGCTACATGGGTGGATCTCGTGCTTTTGCTCGGTGTACGCGTTTGCCAACTGGGGGCGCACTCACGGTGCTGGTGCTTTTCATTGGGCATGGAGCATGAGAATGGTCGAAAGTTTGACACTTCTGACAGCAAGAAGGTTTGTCAGGGCCAAATCGCTGAGACGGATTCGCGGAGCCGGCGAGGGAGCGGATGGGTGCTCCAGGCATGTGAGGAAGGATGGCTCAGCCCGCCAGATGTGGGCCCAGATGTTTCGACCAAAGCTCGGATGCTGGGCCTTCCTCACGCGCCCGCCCTGGAGCTACCCTGGTATCTTCCAGCCAGAAGTTCAACAAGCAGAGGTTTCTGGCTGACCTTGCTTTGGGCTTAATTGCGAGTTGTCTTGCGGTCACTGGTCCACTGCAAAGCTTGCATCCTACCTCGATGTCCGCTTGGGTCCCGCTGCGCAGGCGTCGTGGCCGCATGGCAGCCAACATCGCTGCGCAGCCAAACTCTCGTTGGTCTCAGAAGACTTCGACGCAAGTGTTCGTCTCTCCGTCGCGCTTGGCTGCCGGATTCGCATTCCAGTGCCCATGCAGCGCACAGCGCCTGCTCGAGCCGGTGTGCTCCTCTGTGCCATTGCCAGCGAGTGAAGGCGACACAGCCAGGAAAAAACGCAAGCTGCCCAGGCTTGACTTGGTTTGCCGCAGCGAGACTTGGGCTTCATCGCAGGAGAGCATTTCACGCGCGTGCGGCCGCTACAGATTGGTTGTGCGTGCTTGCTCCCTGGACCATGCTAGCAGGCGGCAGGCTTGAACCTCAGGATTTCATGGCGAGGCAAATTCAATAGCAGCGTAGCTTCGCACACGGGCAAGAGTAGCCACTGAAGTCCTTTTACCACCTTTGCACGATTGTTTCGGGGTTTCGTTTCAACAATATCGCGTAAGATCAAGTGAGTTTGGGAAGCAAATGTTTTGGGCAATTTTCTTCTCGCTTGAGAATGGAGAAGCTAAGGCTTGAGTAAATTTTGTCGTAAGTGGAGTTGGCCCTCCATTTAGTTTAGTGTTGCGCCAGTACTGGCATTTGATTTAGCAAGCCCGCAAGAACTCAGAAACACATTCCTGTAGGGGCATTGACATGATACTTTGGTTGCGACCCTGAGTTACTAACCTCTTTATTGCGCAAAAGAGTGAGTGTGGGAAGCATTGTTAGCAAATGTCAGAAGTTTGATGATGCAGGAGCAGCAGCTCGAACAAATTGAGCCACTTCAAGTGACTGGAATTGGCACTCCGTTTGTTTATCATGTCTCTACCAGTAATTGTTATATTATGTTCTTTATGTAGGGAACGCTTGATTCCAGGGGCATTTGTTAATCTATTTGGAAGACAACACCGGCGCCGGGCATGCAACCGAGCGATCGAGACTTTCCAGCCATGGACCAGAATTGATGTAAATCAACGCGTTCTGGTTTGGATGTCTCACTGGTGTTTGTTCTTATTTTACTTCAGGGCTGGAGAAGCCCCCATGGCCTTGCGAGCGCGGTATCTGTTTTCATCTGACGAGCCGGCAACTGATGTTCTGTCCTTTTTCACATGACGAGCACATAGAGGCGTAGTATATGGGCCTTTTGGGGTTTGCGCGGCTGCGCTTGAGCAAGCAATCCTTTCCTATCTTTTGGTTTCGGCTTGCCTATGAATGACCTACTGTTTTCAGAGCCTAGCATCTTACACTTCCGTGGTGTCAAAGGGGCGTCTCTCACGATCAGTGGCCCCCCGAAAACCGTTTAACCGACCGGGGCTCCAGTTTGGGACGCCTTTTGAACCCCTGCTAGGGGCTCTGATCCAGAGGCGGGAAAGCACAGCGGCATGTGGGGTGTTTTGCCTAGGAGTTGTTTTGTCGAGTTGGTTTCAGGGCACGCAACGGGACACCGGAGACAAACCTGGCCCGGCAGACTGAAAGGGGAACTCTTCTCAAACATTGCTTTTGCCAGCAGCTAGCAACAGCAACATGATTTGCGCAGCTCAACAGAACAAGCAAGAGCTTCTTTTTGTATCACCCCAACGCTAATTTTGATCCACCAATTTCAGATCAATTTGGCCACAATGTCCGAAAGCCGAGTTGAACCTCGCTAAGTCGAAGTGCCTTTGTGCAGCGAACAAATGCTGTAAAGTCGGACATGGGGCGTTTGCCGCAAAAGTGGGGACTAACTTTCCCATGTCCTTAACCTATTCCGACCATTGACTCACGTGTTGATCGCGTTGCCAGGGTTGAAGTTGAGGACACCTTGAAGTGACTGTTTCTCACACTCCAACGAGGGTGGCAATATGCCTGAGGATCATGTTCCCAGTGCCCTTTTCTGAACTAGATTTTGGTGAGACAACCACATGATCCTTGGATTGTTTCATATGAGAGAGGCAGGGCAACGACGCTCCTTGAACTTCTGGGTGTACCAGAATGCCGCATTTTTGGCACAGAGCCGAAGAGGCAGGCGCTGTGTAGAGCCCCAAGACCACGAATACCTCAAGGTTGCTTGGTTTTTTTAGACGGCCAGATGCCCGCAAACCAAACAACTCGAGTTGTTTGTTTCATCTGAACATTGCAAAACAAGCAGAAAGGAGTTAATTTGAATTTGCACATGGATTTGCAATGACCTGCAGGTGGGACATGTTCAATCTTTCAAGAACCATGTGCTTTGGATTTGCTGATGGGACAGACCACAAACAGGAATGATGTCCAACAGGTAGATCATGGGGGGGTGGCTCAGCATGCACATG